GGCCAGGAGATGGACCAGGTGTGAGGAGGTGGGAGGGGGACCAGATGTGAGGAAGTGGGAGGGGGCCAGGAGATGGACCAGGGGACAGGTGGGAGGGACCAGGAGATGGAGCAGGTGTGAGGAGGCAGGAGGAGCTGGGGAATTAAAGAGGTGGGAGGGACCAAAAGGGAGTTTTTTAAGTCCCCAGGGTGAGGAGGATGAGGTCAGACAGCAGAGCTCCCGCTTCACTGCTCTTACTGGGGGTATTTTGTAAGGCAGTGAGAACAAACCATGGTTATCCAGTAAGATTTTACTTGAAAGGAAAAAAGTATTCTATAGCAAAAACAAAAAAAAAAGTTTGAAAAGCATTGTCCGCCTCCACCTATTTCCTCTTTATGGAAAAGAGCACTTAGCAGGTCCCCAAACCCTTACACCTTCAGTTGGACCCCTTACCAGTTCAGGTTGAGGAGAGTCCTTGCTCCAATGAAAGCTGAGATCGAGTGATAAAACGTTCACTGCCCCAGGGCAGTCGTGCCCTTTGCGTGTCCTGGGTGTCTGGTGGTCACTGCCTGTCTTGCTTTCCTCGTAGAAGCTGTACAGGAAGGAGGTCAAGCCGCCCTTCAAGCCTGCGGTGGGCAGGCCGGAGGACACCTTCCACTTCGATCCCGAGTTCACATCCAGGACACCTACAGGTCTGTGCCAGTGCCGCATAGGGACAGTCTGCTGGTTCCTCCTTAACCTGCTCTAGGAATCATATAACGGAAGATGTTCTCCCTAGAAAAGAGCATCAGTTCTGTTTCATTTTGTTGTCTCTGTGCACTCATAAAGACTCAGGTCATTGAACCCCGAAACCCTTCTGGGTGTTCTCTAGATGATACCACTGTCTGGGAGTCGATTCCAACCCACAGAACCCCTAGAGGACAGAGTGGAACTGCCCACAGGGTCTGCAAGGCTGCCAATCTTCACAGAAGCAGAGCCCAAACCACACCCACTGCCTGGAGTCCATTCTGACCCACAGCGCCCCTAGAGGACAGAGTGGAACTGCCCACAGGGTCTCCCAGGCTGTTATCTTTGTGGAAGCAGACTGCTTCATCTTTTACCTGTGGAACAGTTGGTGGTCTGAACTGCCAACCTTTCAGTCAACCCTGGAGGGTAGCCAGTTGGAAACCTTCAAGGCCCATAGGCCTTCCCTCTCTCCAGTCCCTCTATTTTGACTCGATGGTACTCCTCCTCCCTCTTGCGGACTCACCTGCAAGAGCAAGGAAGGAAACTCATCAGCTTCTGTCTCAGGATAGCAGAGGACATGAGGTTAGCTCCTGTGTGTACCGTTACTCCTAGCGTACCATACGCGTTGCTGTCCCGTGGACACGTGCTGACACCCCCTCCCCATGTGTCAGAATAGACCCGCGCTCCTCCGGGCTTTCGGCGGCTGACTCAGGTACATCTCCAGGCCTTGGCTCCTCAGCGTCTCTGGGTGGACTCCGCCCTCCAGCCTTCAGGATAGCAGCCGAGCCCATGGCCGTCTGTGCCACCCAGAGACCCCAGGTCGCTCGGTCGGGTTCTCGGAGCCAGCTGCCTCCCTTGAAAAGGGATCGCGCTGTGCTGTTCATTTAGTGACACTTGTTAGCTGCTGTGGAGCTGGGCTGTGGCAGACACGTCTCAGATCCGGGAACTGGGGAGAGACAGGCTCCTCCACTGGGTAGTTACTGGGGTGGGAGCTGGCTGGTCTTCCTGCTTTCTCACAACTCTCAAATAAGCTGCATATTTGCTATACTAAGACAATAATAATGTTTAATTGGATGACTGTGCAGCAAACAGATAACTGTATGTGAAACACCACGCGGGGAAAGCAAGGGCCCCTGACAAGGGCCTGTATGTGAACAAGACCACGTGGGGAAAGGGGGAACAGAGAATTCTGCCCCCTGGGCTCCACCTGTCAGTGAGATGTGTTTCCTGTGCCTCGGGTGGGCCAGTGGAAGTGCTGTGCCAGTGTAGACAGCTGAGGGCCCCGCGAGGGACTTGAGGGGCTAGAGGCTGTGCCTGGCCCAAGCTTCGTGGACACTTAGCACAGAGTGGAGAGGATCCTGGCTGTGTGGATGGGAGTCGTGATGCTGGTGGGTGGCTCACTTCTTTTGGGTCCCCCTGTGGTGCCAGAGCAAACTGTCTGGGGCCAGAGCCCTGGTGGTAGCTGCTGATGGAGTCAGGGTGGTCACCGGCCAACGTGTGTGTCCCACAGCCTGGGTTTGTGGTTTCACAGCCCAGCATTAGGCCGCCTCGCGCCGCCCAGCTAACGTCAGGCACACAGCCTCACGCAGTGCTCTGACGTGGATCCGGCGCTGCTGATCTAACCGTCAGTTAACCACGGGTGCCAAGTTGTGCTGCTGTTTTTCTGGCATACACTTTCTGCACTTACTTCCAGATGCTTTTGAAAATAACTTCAGGGTAAGGTCCTCTGTGTGGACTTGGCCCTTCAGGGACTTGTGTAGCTGACGTCTTGACGGGTTCCAAGTCAACCTGCCCCGAGGCCATGCTGGTTCTCTTCCCACCTACAGTTGTCAGGTGGCTTGCCCCTCGCCAAACCTGGCTGGCTTGCTTCTGTTTTTGCCGACAGGTCAAGGGGGAAAGCATGGCCTCACTTAGCTGTGTATGTCACTTGGAAACACCGATAGGTAGCGTGGTGAGTGCTGTTTCTTCCCCATGCGGAGTGGGGTGGGCACCTCGCCTTCCTCACGGGTCTGTCTGTTACACGTGGTGCAGGCACCTCCTCCCTGCAGTCCTCCTCCTCTTGCTTTAAGAAACCTGGCACCTGTGTGTGGACAGGTCTGCAGAGCTGAAACCTGGCACCCTGTGTATGGACAGGCCTGCAGAGCTTAGGCAGGTCGTGAGAGGGGGTTCTGTCCTCAAAGCTCTGCCCGAGCCACGGGCAGGGCCACCACCGAGCCGGCTTGGGGGGCAGAGAAGCTGTCCACCCCGCTGCACCCCAGCACGGGCACTGTTGATACGGGGGCACTGCAGCTGTGCTCACTGGCCCGCCGACTGCCGGTCCCAAGGGCACTGGTGGCTTTTGTCTCTGTCGGAGGGGGTTGGGGACTGGGGTAGGGGACCGTGCTGGAGAACACGTAGAGACCCAGAAGGCAGCACCCAGGCACGCTCGGTGGTTATGCTACGGCTCCAGGTGTTTCTGCTGTTGATAGATCAAGCCGTGGGCACTGCCCAAAGTGAAGCGTGTTCGTACGGTTCGGTATTTCAAATCTTTGTTCTTCCTCCTCCAACGTGCACACCCGTGCACTCACACACACTGAAATGTGCACACACATACATCTCACAGTCACACGTGCACACATTTACCACACACTCATATATGCCCAAGGATATGCACACACTCACGTGTACACACAGACACACTGGCACATGTACACATACACATATGCACACACACACCCTGCACATAGTTGCACAAGTACACACACCACATACACACACCCCATACACTCTCAAACAAGCACACAAATGCACTCACATACCACACGCTCACATGCACATACAACACACCACACATACACCTCTCATGCACAGAAATGTGCCACACTCACACATGCACACACATGCCACACACATACCTCACAAACGCACATGCACTCACACACTTGTCCATCACACACACATGCATGCACACACCTCACACTCACGTACACACACATAAACGTGCTCATGCACCACACACTCATACATGTGCATACACATGGACACAAACCGCACACATGTATACCTTACACATTCACATGCACATGTACTCATGTACCATTCGCACGCAGCACCAAATGCACTCTTGGACCACGCTCTCTCACATAAGTGCACACACGCATCTCACACACGTGTGCTAAATAGTACTCATGCACCATACTCTCACACACATGTGCACACGTGCATACTCACGCACACACAACACAGAGGTACACCAGTGGCTGCAGTCCTCCCAGCAGCTCTGACTCCTTGTCTGTGTGCAGATTCCCCTGGCGTGCCTCCCAGCGCCAACGCCCACCATCTGTTCAGAGGATTCAGCTTTGTGGCATCAAGCCTGGTCCAGGAACCCTCGCAGCAAGACCTCCACAAGGTCACGGCCCACCCCATCGTGCAGGTAATCCCTGGAAAGCCCCCATCCACCTCACCCTGCCAGCCCTGGTGGACAGGGCCCAGCTGATGCCACACACTGGAGACTGACACCCAGACCCAGGGCTGCCTGGGGGGCTGGGAAGTGAACAGGGTCAGTTTTCAGTCCCTGACTTCGCTTCTGAGCCATGTCCCCGTGTCCTCAAGGCCTGAACCGCTGCTCCAAGCCTGCTTCTCATGCAGCCCACAGAGGAAAAGACAGGTGCCCAGAAGGACAGACCGGGGAGGCTGGGACCGAGGCCCCCGGGCTCATGTGTGGGCATCCCCCCACAGGGAGTCAGGCAGTGGTTTAACCTGTTGGGGGCCACTTGTCTCTGTAAAGTGTACTCTTAGAGGGCAGTAGAAGATGACATTTTTGTAAGACATCTTCCACCTCAGAGCCCTGGTGACGTGGTGGTTAAGCACTGGTTGCTAACCAAGAGGTCAGCGGTTCAAACCCCCTAGCGGCTCTGCAGGAGAAACATGAGGCAGTCTGCTTCCATGAAGATCACAGCCTTGGAAACCCTGTTGGACAATTCCAGTCTGTCCTTCAGAGGCTTTGTCGAGGTGGAGTCAACTGGACGGCAGTGGGTGTGGTTTGGGCTTGGCTTCCGTAAGGATGACAGCCTTGGAGGCCCTGTGGGCAGTTCTCTGTCCTCTAGGGGCACTGTAGAGATTAAAACAACAAAACAGCCTTGGAGACCCTGTGGGGCAGTTCTCTGTCCTCTGGGGGCGCTGTGAGTCAGCATCAGTTTGCTGGCAGCGGATCTGGTCTGGGTTCCCCACCTTATAAATGGAACCAGACTACAGAGAGCTCCCTGAAGGAGAATGATGGTTACGTTTGTTTAACAGCTGAGTCAGGGTACGTTGGTGGCACTAGGCTCTGTGGCTGATTGTGTCCCTGTCATCTCCTGGAGAAAGATGGCTTCGTAACACAGAGGCTTGATGTCAGTGTGTACACAGGCCCTCGGCAGGCTGCGACTTCGAAGCCCTGGATCCCAAGGGATGTCTGCATCCAGAAACTAGCTCTGAACCCGAGCTCCAAGGCCACACCTGTCTCCTTTCACTTCCAGTCCTTACTCTCCCTCTGGGAAAACATGGCAACCAGTGGACCCAGTGCAGCATGAGGTTGAAAACATGAGAGTCATGACCCAAGACATCAGGCAGAGCCCCGTCACCTTGAGCACCCTGCTCAGGTGTGTGCAGAGACGGCTAATGGGCTCTCCTCTTGGTCTGTGTCTCAGCAGTTGCATGGGAACAACACCCACTTCACCGACGGCTATGAGATCAAGGAGGACATCGGGGTGGGCTCCTACTCCGTGTGCAAGCGATGTGTGCACAAGGCCACAGACACGGAGTATGCCGTGAAGGTAAGGAGACATCAGCCTTGTGGGCAGTGCTGTGGTCTGGCACAACACACACACCATGGCTGCAAGGCAGGGCGGGGACTCCAGTGGACGCATCTGGGCCTGAACCTGCCTGACCAGCATCCAGTCTCTCGGGGGCAGGGCGGGGCGGGGCGGGGACTCCAGTGGGCGCACCTGGCCCTGAACCAGCCTGGCCGGTGTCCGTCTCTCAGGAAGCATCTTCTCTCCACTCGTCTTCCCCAGCTCTAGTCAGGGGCACCTTAGTTTGTTTTGCTATTAGGTCACCATTGAAAATTGTTTTGCAAAATCATAAACATGGTCAGTTACATCCCCATGAGGATTGTGAGGCTGGCGCAGGACTGGGCAGTGTTTCCTCTGTTGTACATGGGGCCACTGAGAGCATCTCAACGCACCTGAAAACAACAACGTCCACACGTGGAGGCGTGGCCACCATTAGCAGCTTCAGGTAGAACACAGGTCCAGGTGGAATGCATGCCGAGCGCACAAGCTTTGGGCACCCTGGTTCTGGGGCAGAGGGGCTGGGGGACAAGGGTAGTGTTTGGGGAGGAGGGAGTGGGGAGGAGGAAAAGCGGGCTGGCCGGCAGCAGGTGCAGTTCTCTGGCTGCTGGGGGTTTCCTTTTCCATCCTCTTCCACATCGTAACTGAGGGGTTTAAAGGAGAACTTGATGGAAACCCACCCGCTGCCCATCTAGATGCTGTTGTTGTGTCCACGCGTGAAGATGGCGGCGAGTTTGCCGAATTCTGCCATAGAGGAGACAGCGTTGTGTGTTCTTTGTGTTTTATGTGTGTTTCAGAAGCACATTATGTGTTTCTTAGCATTTTTCTACCTGGGTTCTCAGAATTTCTTTAACTCATTTCTCTGAGGCCCAGCAACAGTTCTAAAATAAGTCCCTGTTGCCAGTGAGGCGAGAACTCTCTCCTACTCAGCCAAGTGCAGCAACCAGCCACGCTTCTAGAGCAGAGCCTTCTCCCGTGGGTCTTACCAGCCCCCACTTTGAACCTGAGAATAATCCCCCATTGACAAAGGCAGTGAGGTGTTTCCCCAGAGGCCCCCACACCCAGCTGCCGTCTAAAGACACCATCTGACTCCGCTTTGTCAGCGGCTGATAACTTGTGTCCAAAGACCCTGTGGAGACCTCACTGTTACAGATTCTGAGGAATGGCGGCCACGGCCCAGTTGGGAAAGAAGCAGATGATGGGGCCCCACTGATGGAGCAGGAGAGAGCCGGACCGTCTGTTGCCTTTTGACAGGGCTGAGCTTCCCTGGGGAAATTGAGTGGGGGTCCCCTTGCAAAAACGGCAAGGAGGCCACATCTCCTGACCTCACAGGAGGAAGCCAGGATCACCATCAATAACACAAAGCCTATTACTACAAGGCCAGACATGCCTCCCTCCAGCCCTTTCACCAACCGTTCCTCCCAAAGCACCCACCACCTCTCTCCTAGGTTCGATAATTCACTGCAGTGGCCACACAGAGCTCACAGATTATGGGGTTTATTAGGGAAGCACCACAGGCTACAATTCAAGTTCAGGGAAAATGCTCAGTCTCTCTCCCAGCCCACCGTCCCTCAGCCAACAGTCTCTCTCACAGTCTCTTTCCCAGCAGTGCTGGTCCCTCAGTGTCTCACTCAGCGATGCGTGTCTCTTGCGTCTCTTTCCCAGCAACGTGTGTCTCAGGAGCGCGTGTCTCTTTCAGCAGCACGTCTTCCTCAACCAGCAGTTAGAGAGAGTTCGTTCTGCCTCTAGGAGGCCTCCTTTGGAGCCCGGCAGGGTGGTCAAACTAGCCAATCACAGCATCAGAACTCTAAGCACCTGAGAGAGAGTGGGAACCTCCCAGAACATTGTATTGTGCCAGGCCCAACAGAAATAACCCAGGTAGATAATATTTACAGTCAGGAGCTCCTCAGTTGCTCATTCCACCACTGAGTTTACAATGACTTATGGGTAGAAAAGCCACACTAAGTAATTTACTACACTGCACCTCTGCAGGGAATTCCTGCCTCTCAGAGATGACCGTGGGTCAGAATGTCTGGAAGGTACTTCAGGGAGCCAAGCCAAGAAGTACCCTGGGACATTTCTGTAGGATGCAGACCATAATCCCGAGTGTTCTTCATGACCCGGACAGAGTATTCCAGGAGCGTGGTTAAGCCAGGTGCTGGCATGCCAACTTCAGTCTGTGTATCAAAGGGCAAGCAGCTGTTGGATTTCTCTCAGAGACGAAGGAGCTACAGGGTTTCTGGCTTAGAGGTCATCGTTTCAGATGACCGGGTATATACCCAGGCTGCTTCAATGTCACATGGGGTGGGTCGCTACTGCATCCATTTTTAGCATCTTCAAGATCAACTGCAGCTGCAATCTGTCTTGGCTTTTTCTGTGTCATGTTCCTGACTGTAGTGTTCCCGTTTATTGAGGAAGAACTAAGAGCCAGATTGTGTGTATTTCTGTTGTCGCACAGAACTAAGAACGTAGCATGTAATTGTTGGGTGTGTACGTTGGACCCCAGTTCAGCGCATGTCCTATTGAGGGTCAGTCCCTACACCTTAGCTCCACCATGCTCAGCCACCACATGACAGTTTGAGAATCCAGCTGTCCAGGTTCCCCCGCGGCTTGCGGATGAAAACGAGAGTCTGTTTCATGAGAGACTGTCCAGCCAGAGCCAGACAAGGCTTCCTCGTCGAGGCTGTAGGGGCTGGGAGGTCTTCCCTGTCTGTAGTGAGTGGGGGGAAGAACACAGCGGTCTGAACTCAGTCAACACTAGGGCTAGAAGGCCTGGAGGACTCATGCTCAGTGGGACATTGTCATGCCCCAGGGGACACTGGCTATGTGAACCACCAGCCTTCTCCTCAGAAGGAAGGCTGGGCCATCTACTTCTGTAGTGATACTGCCTCAGAAACCCAAGGAGGGGTCATTATGAGTCAGATCTGACTCGACGGCAGTGAGTTTGGCTTTGATAACCTGTGACAGGTAAGTTTCTGTTTGTCAAACCCCCACTTGAGGCACTTCTGTCACAGCAGCATGCTGTTACAGGTCCGGAGGCTAAAAGTCCAAATGCAGGCTGCCAGCTCTGGGGCAAGGCTTTCTCTCTGCTGGCTCTGGAGGAAGGGCCTGTCTCTTTCCAGCATCTGTGGGTCCCCTGATGTTGCAGATCTCCATGTGTCTTGGCCTCAGTCTTGCCCTGGGTCTAGGAGGTTCTCAGCGCAGACACCCCAGGGCCAAAGGATGGGCTCTGCTCGCAGCTCTGCTTTCTGGGTGGGACTGAGGTCCCCCCTCTTTGCTGGCTTCTGTCTCCTTTTACCTCTTGTAAGGTGGTGACTCAGGCTGCCGCCCAGGGAAGCTCTGCCAGGAGCCAGAGGCAGCTGGTTTTCATGGAGCTCACCCAGGGGCAGAAGCTGAAGAGACGAGGACCTTCCTCCGCAGCCGACGGAGAGTCTTCTCCTAGGGCTGGCACCTGATTCAGACTTGGGCCTTCCAGAGTGGGAGAAAACCATGTTCTGTCTATTCAAGCCACCCCCTTGTGGTGTCTCTGTGACAGTGGCACTATAGATTAGTAAGACAACATGTGGTACAAGGAGGGCAGTGCTGCTTTAACAGATACATAAAGTGTGAAAGCCATTTTGCTGTCAGATAAAGGCTGGAGGCTGAGTTTGAAGGTGCCTAATGATGAAAGCCTAGTTTGCCTTGAAGAGAGTGTTAGAGTTACAGAAATCAAAGGCAGTTCTGCTGAGGGTCGGAAGGAAGTGAAGAGAGCTACAGAGAAAGTCTGTGTTGTCTTAGAGAATACAAATGGTGCTAACAGCAGAATGCTGGGAATGTGGACATTAAATGCACTTGTGGTGAGGCTTTCTAAGAAAATGATGAAGATGGGATTGGACAGTGGGAAAAGGGTGATGCTTTTTATGCAGTGACGAAGAACTTGTCTGAACTATGAGACAGTGTTTGGTGGAAGGTGGAGCTTGTAAGGGATGAGCTTGGCTGTCTGGCTGTTGAGATTTCTAAGCAAGACCTTAAAGGGCCTGCACGGTTTCTCCTAGCCTCTTACGGTAAAATGTGAGAGGGAAGAGAGGAACTTAAAAATGAACTATGCAAAATGGAAATGGAACGTAAGGATTTGGAAAATGCTGTTTTACAAACTAAGGACACACGTTGTAGAATGTTCACAAAGGATCTGGCTACACGATCTTTTGTTGAAGAGATTGAGCCTGTGACTGATGGCTGTAACCAGCTACCCCAGCAGAGAGGACCCATCAGCTTAGACTGAAGAGGACAGAAGGAATAAGGGGAGAGAAAGCTGCCTGCCTCTTGGAATCCTGCAGGCACGAAACAGGCCAAAGGAGCTGCGTCTGTTGATCCTTAAGAAGAAAAGAGGACCATCCCTGGGGCAGGTCAGAGACCAGCAGAGCTGCTGGAACGGGCACGGGAAGCAGGCCGCACTCACCCCAGAGAAGGGGCCATGGTCCTGGCTTCAGAGTCACATCTTCACCAACTTGGTTCTGAAGGGTGGGGCTGCCACCCACAGGAGCACAGGGCCGCTGCCCGGAACTGAGGCAGGGCTGCTGTGCTCGAGGGGCAGAAGAATGGGGCCTGGAGTTGCCATGTAGATGGACTGGGAGAATGGGGCCACCCAAAGCCACGGGAGCAGAGTTGCTGTCCAGTGGCCTGGCAGGAGGAGCTGGAGCCCAGTACCCAGAGGGCAACCCCAGAGTCTGGAGGGCAGGGTCGTGCCTCGCTGGTCTCAGGAAGCGGGATTCTTTCCAGGCCTTGGGAGCTAATGGAAGAGATCCTGCTGGGTCTGGACTTGCCTGGTGCCCGTTATCCCTTCCCTCCTCCAGTTTCCCCTGCTGTGACGGCAACGTCGGACTTGGAAACATCGCACTGTGGAAACAGGCAGCCTGTAGTCTAGACTTCACAGGTCCATGGGTGAAGAGGCATTTTGCCGCAGGATGGAATGCACGTAAAGTCTCACCCATATTTGATTTAAATGATTCTAAAGATGAGATTTTGGACTTTAAGTTGACTAAAGACTTTTGGGATGATGTGGTGGGGGGTGTTTTGCATATGGCAAGGACGTGAATTTGGGGGGACCAAAGGGTAGAACGTTAGGGATTGATTTATGCCCCCAGAACATATGTATTGGAAATCCTAACCTCTGTGCCTGTCGTTATAATGGCATTTGGGAATGACTATCTTTGTTACATTAACGAGACAGGGTAAGCGTGGGAGGTATCTTGAGTCAGTCTTTTTTGAGACACAGAGAGATTAAACAAGCGCTTGAGAAAGGAGATGGGAGAAGAGAGACTCCACGCCTCGTGAAGATCGCCCGGGAGTGGACACTCCAAAGAGACAAAGGGCTTCATCCAGAGCCAACAGGGAGTCTCTCCCTAGAGCCGGCGCCCTGAGTTCAGACTGCTAGCCTCCTCAACTGCAAGAAAACAAAATTTTGTTTGTTAAAGCCACCCCCTTGTGTTTCTGTAACAGCAGCACTAGAGAGCTAAGACTTTGTCCTCCTAGCTTTTTCCACAGGCCATGTTCACCTTCACACGTGTCACGGCTCACAAACACAGGAAGCACACAGACACCCATGTCACCCGCTTACACACACGCATGAAGCACACAGACACTCAGGTCACCGGCTTGCACATATGCAGGAAGCACACAGACCCCCGTGTCATGTGTGCACACACACGGGAGGCATGCAGACATCCGTGTCACCTGCTCACACACACAGCACACAGACACCCATGTTGCACGCACACACGCAGGAAGCATTCAGACACCCGTGTCACCCACTTGGCACACATGCAGAAAGCACACAGACACCCGTGTCACCAGCTCTCACACACGCAGGAAGCATGCACACACCCATGTCACCTGCTTGCATACGCACAAAGCACGTAGACACCCACGTTACCCGCCCGCACCACGCAGGAAGCACGCAGACACCCATGTCACCCGCTCATGCACACACAGGAAGCACACAGACAGCCGTCCATTATTAGTCCCACTTCTGGATTTCTCTTTTCTGAAAGGTTTGTGCAGTAGACAGTTTCATGTTGTCAGTGGTTGACAGCATGTGCCGTGGGAGACCTTTTTTTCCAGTGGCATGTTCCAGTTATAGCATTAAAAGTATGGTAGTGCACCACATAACGTGGGTTTGACCACATAGACGTCTGTGGCCCCATCCCACCATAAAGCTTATTGTATTGAAAACTCAAGGTGCATAGAGTGGGTTGTAGTAACAGATGGATACTGCTTTGTGACAAGGGTCAAAATGTTACTCCTGTCATTGTGCATTACTGTGTTGAAGATGTTGTGGTGCATCTGGAAGGCTTTCCTTTGTGTTTTGTGCGTAGGGAGATACATTACTTATTATACACTTAACACAGAAACTTAACCAACCAATGTCAGGTACGAGTCATAGCTCACTGTTCTGACTGACGTACAGATCCGACTTACAGGCATACCTAGAAATGGAACTTGTTCGCAATGCGGGGACTTCCCGTGTGTGATACAGCGTTCACCCCACGCCAGATCTCACAGCGTCTTTCACAGAATGTGTCATCAGCATTAGTGATGCATGACTATATCTTAGTTTATTTTAGCAATAGAGTCAGGTAAAACTAATGTGAAATCCTTAAAACAGCTCAAGAGTACTTGGTACCCAGTTCTTCTCACAGGGATAAATGTAGCAGTCATGTGCTATACTGAGGGGCGGCCGGCTCTCCCTGGAAGGGGTCCAGCCTTCCCTGGAAGGGACTCCATTCATGTGCAGGGCTGAGTGGGTCTGCCCTTCCCTAGAAGGGGTTCCTTTGTGTGCAGGCTGAGAGGGTCCAGCCTTCCCTGGAAGGGGTCTCTTCGTGCGCAGGGTTGAGGGGGTCCGGCTCTCCCTGGGAGGGGTCCCTTCATGTGCAGGGCTGAGGGGATGCAGCTCTATCTGGAAGGGGTCCCTTCGTGTGCAGGCCTGAGGGGGTCCAGCCCTCCCGGAAAGAGGTCCCTTCATATTCACACCAGATAGCTGAAGATCATGTCAGCATTTCTGGGCTCTGTTCCACACTGGCCTGTAATTTGCCAGCCAAGAAAAGAAACGAACCCAGACCCTTGGCATCAGTGGAGCTCACTGTTAGAAGGAAGACAGATGGATCTGGAAATGTTCCCTTTTTTTTCCAGCAGCAAAAATGGGAGTTCTTTCTCTGTGCATTTAAATGCATTTTCCAGGAGCGGGTCTGTCACATCTTACTGATGACAGCATGCTCGCCTCCCCTCATCTCAGTGACAAGTGAGAAGCAGGGTCCTGCCCGAGCTCAGTGGACATGGGGGTGCCGCCATGGTTCTCTCAGGTCACGTGCTGTGTCTCTTTCAGATCATTGACAAGAGTAAAAGGGACCCCTCGGAGGAGATTGAGATCCTCCTGCGATACGGCCAGCACCCGAACATCATCACCCTCAAAGACGTAAGTGCCCTGCACGCACCACCTGCTGCTCTGGCCCCTTCATCTGACACGGGCCAGCTTCCACAGGTCGATGCCAGCTTCCGGCCCGCTCCACCGACACTGTGCCGAGGGCACGAGCCTGAGAGGGGCGTCCCTCATGCACCCTCTCCTTACGTGTCGTGGTCAGCCTGACTCGCTGGACCACTGAGTGCGCCCTCCCGGAGGGCAGCCACTAGGCCTCCCAGACCACGTGGTCTGCAGGTACGTAAGAAAACACAGCTGTGTGAATCCCAGCGTCTGTCTTCCCTAATTCATACAGCAGAAAAGGTGGGTGTGGGCTCGGAACGATGAGCGGTGGTGCAGAGCTGAGACTCGGACATCAGGCTCTCATTGTGGGCCTTCTCCCTTCTGCCCCTGGCTTTGTCTATTGAGTGATTAGTGGTCGTTTGCGTGCAGGGGTTGGGGACACATTGGAGGCCGTCAGGCAGCTAAGTGAGGGGTTGGACATCGGCGGGGAGGGGAGAAGGTATTGACTTCATCTCCGTCTCAGTCTCAGTCTCACTCGGTTGGTCTCAGGAGAACCCCGGGGAGTGTTGTACACAAATACCCACACGTCTGAATGTAGGAGCCCTGGCGGTACATCGGTTAAGTGCTAGGCTGCTGACCACAAGGCTGGCTGTTCAGACCCTCCCAGCACCTCCAAGGGAGAGAGATCCGGCAGTCCGTCCCCGTAAAGACTGCTGCTGTTACTAGGTGCCATCACAGCAGCTCCAGCCCATGGTGCCCCTGTGTGCGCCACCCTCACACCCACTGCCATGCTTGAGCCCGTTGTCGCGGCCGCTGTGTCCGTCCGTCCGTCTCACGGGGGTCCTCCCTTTTCTCACTGACCTTCTGCTTTACCAATCACAATGTCCTTCTCCAAGGGCTGGTCACTCTGATGACATCCAGAGTACCTGAGATGAGGTCTCACCATCCTCACTGCGAAGGGCGTCCTGGCTGAACTTCTTCCAGGACAGATTTGATGCCCCCCCGGTGGTCTGTGGTTTATTCAGTGCTCTTCACCACCAGCTTGGTTCCGCTGAGTCATTTCTTCAGCCCGGCTCTCACATGCTCATGAGGCCATGGAAGATGCCACGGCTCGGGTCAGGTTCACCTTAGTCCACACAGTGACATTGTTGTTTTTTAATACTTTAAAAAGATCTTTTACCTTTTGTTAGATTGTGATTTGGGTGGAAGTTTACAGAGCACGTTGTTCCATTCAACAATTCACACACGTTCAGTTTCCTGCCATTCGTCGCGATCCTCAGTGTCACGGCACCCATCCTGCTTCCTCCTGTGTTTACCTTGTCCATCTTCTTTCCTGTCTGTGTCACAGTAGTCCCCTCTGTTGTCTGTAACTGTGTCCACTCTCAGACTGTTGTCAGTGCTGTCCCTGCAGGGCTGTGTGTGTCACAGTTGTCCCCTCTGTTGTCTGTAACTGCGTCCACTTGCAGACTGTTGTCCCTGCAGGGCTGTGTGTGTCACGGTAGTCCCCTCTGTTGTCTGTAACTGTATCCACTCACCAACTGTTGTCAGTGCTGTCCCTGTAGGGCTGTGTGTGTCACGGTAGTCCCCTCTGTTTTCTGTAACTGTATCCACTCACCAACTGTTGTCAGTGCTGTCCCTGTAGGGCTGTGTGTGTCACGGTAGTCCCCTCTGTTGTCTGTAACTGCATCCCCTTGTAGACTGCTGTCCATGCAGGGCTGTGTGTGTCACGGTAGTCCCCTCTGTTGTCTGTAACTGCGTCCACTCGCAGACTGTTGTCAATGCTGTCCTGCAGGGCTGTTGTGTAACGGTAGTCCCCTCTGTTGTCTGTAACTGCGTCCCCTTGTAGACTGCTGTCCCTGTAGGGCTGTGTGTGTCACGGTAGTCCCCTCTATTGTCTGTAACTGTGTCCACTCTCAGACTGTTGTCACTGCAGGGCTGTTGTGTAACGGTAGTCCCCTCTGTTGTCTATAACTGCGTCCACTCGCAGACTGTTATCAGTGCTGTCCTGCAGGGCTGTTTGTAACGGTAGTCGCCTCTCTTGCCTTGAACTCTTGGGTTCCTTCCGTGTGCAGTCTGCCGCTGCTTCTCTCCATGGGTACTTGCTGCCCTTTTGGTCCATATGGCTGATTGTTCTAATACCTTCCTGGTATTACTGTTATTGTTCACCTTACAGGCTTATCTGTCGTTTGGCTGAAAGTTGAGTCATGGGGTTGAGTTTGTTGAAGCATCTCAGTGGGTTCCATCAATCCCTGGATCCTTGTTTTTCTCCAATTCCTTCAGTGCAGCTTTGACTTCTTCCTTCAGTACTGTTGGCTCTGTATCACGTGCCATCTCCTGAAATGGATGAACATCGACCAATTCTTTTTATTCTTTTTGCTATAGTGACTATGTGTATTCCTTCCATCTTCTTTTGATGCTTCCTGCGTCATTCATTATTTTGCCCATAGAATTCTTTAGTATTGCAACTCGAGGCTTGACTTTTTTCTTCAGTTCGTTCAGCTTAAGCTGACCATGTTCTTCCATTTCGTTTTCTAACTCTGGGTCTTTGCATATTTCAATATATTATCTTACTTTGTCTTCTTGAGCAGCCCTTTGAAATCTTCTGTTCAGCTTTTTAATTCATCATTTCTTCCATTCACTTTAGCTACTCTGCATTCAAGAGCAAGGTTCAGCCTCTTCTGACATCCCTTTTGGTCTTTTCTTTCTTTCCTGTCTGTTTAATGACCTTCTGTTTTCTTCATATATGATGTCTCTGATGTCACCCCACAACTCGTCTGCACTTCAGTCACTGGTATTGATTGTGCCAAATCTGTTCTTCAGATGGTCTCTAAATTCAGGTGGGATATACTCAGGGTTGTACGTTGCCTCTCATGGACTTGTTTTAATTTTCTTCAGCTTCATCTTAAACTTTCATATGAGTAACTGATGGTCTGTTCCACAGCCAGCTCCTAACCTTGTTCTGATTGATGATATTAAGCTTTTCCATCGCCTCTTTGACGGATGTAGTCAATTTGATTCTTGTTTATTCCATCTGGTGAAGTCACTGTATAGTCACTGTTGATGCCATTGATAAAAATTAGTTGCAACAGATAAGTCATTGGTCTTGCAAAATTGTATCATGTAATTGCTGCTGTTGTTTGTATCACCAAGGCCGTATTTTCCAACTACAAACTACCTTTGTTTCCAGCTTCTCCATTCCAGTCATCAGTAATTACCAATGCATCTCGATTGCATGTTTGGTCAATCTCAGACTACAGAAGTTGGTAAAAATCTTCAATTTCTTCAACTTCGGCATTAGTGGTTGGTGCAGAAATTTGAATAGTAGTGGTATTAACTGGTCTTCCTTGTAGGCATGTGGATATTATCCTGTCACTGACAGCATTGTACTTCAGAACAGATCTTGAGATGGTCTTTTTGATGATGAATGTGACACCATTCCTCTTGAATTTGTCATTTCTGCTGTGGTAGACCATAGGATTATCTGATTCGTAATGGCCCATATCAGTCCATTTCAGCTCTCTAAGGCCTAGGATACTGATCTTAATATGTTCCATTTCACTTTTGATTTATATTCTGTTCACTCCATATTTCGAGCATTAATGGATTTTTGCAGCTGTTTTTTCTCATTTTGAGTTGTGCCCCACCAGCAGATAGAGGTCCTGAGAGCCTGCTCCATCTGTGTCTTGCGTTGAGGAGGCAGCTCTTCTCCGGTGCTGTTTGGGCGCCTTGCGGTCAGAGGTGCTCATCTCCCGGCACTGGGTCCGACGCTGTGGGCTGCTGTGCGGCAGGTGCCCGCTGGTCCTTTTTTCAGACATAGATCACCAGCTCCTCCTTCCGGGCCTGTCTCAGTCTGGAAGCTCCACAGAAACCTGTCCACCACGGGCGACCCGTGGCATAGCCTCCAGCCTCGCAGCAACACGCTGACAGTGGTGACCATGAAGATCCAGCCTAGAAAGCCCCCTGGAGCAGATCTCTGTGTCCTGCAGGGTCACTGTGGGTCAGAATCTCCTCACCAGCACACAGCAGCGTCCGTATCTGTACAGACGCATGCGTACCAGCTTATATCCTTCCTGAAGTGCAAAACCAGGTAGATGACGTTAATGCGTCTGCAGCCTCGTTGGTTCCTGAGCCGAAAAATCAGTACATATTTGCACATTACTCCTTTCCACATCATGCCGGTCTGGAAGCTTGGACGGCCTGGGCTCCCGTGTGCACAGATTGGTGTACACACGCAGCTCTTAACACGCATGTGGGTGATAGAAGCAGCCAGAGCATGCACCTGTCTTTTTGTTCTTGAAGTTCACGGGGTCCAGGCCCACGTGCAGGAAGCCATCTTTTTCTCTGCTTCTCTGAGATAGAGCAGCCCTGTGAGATGAGCCGGCCGTGCGTTCTGCTGTCCTGCCATCTGGCCCTCATTCCCGGCTACTCTCAAGTGTGGCCTGTGGCCCCACAGCGTCAGCTCCCCTGGCAGCATGTTGGGAAGGCAGTCTCAGGCCGGCCCGGGCCTGCAGGGTCAGAATCTGCGTTTGCCCGGGAGCCCGGCTCGTGTGCACGTCAGGCTCTGGGGGTCTGGGAGGTGCTGCCCTCGAGAGAAGCCGTGGCCTGGTGGTGTGCCGGTGCTCACATTTAGACCGTGAGTCGTGCTATTTCAGATAGCCTGGCAGAATCATGAGACCATTCATGTCGGCTCAGAGCACACCCGTGTGACGTCGGCCCAGCTCACTTGTTCCTGTTGGCCATTGGGGTCAGCGGCCTGTGAGTCGGCCTCTGCCTAATGGTGCCTCCTTCACAGCGGAACAGAGCTGCCCAGTCCTGGGCCCTCCCCACGACTGCCTGGGGGCTGCAGCATTGTGATCCGTAGGGCTTTCACTGGCTGATGTTCAGAAGTGGGCTGCCAGGCCTTCCTAGTCTGTGTAGGGTGACGGCGCTGCTGAAACCTGTGCAGTGTTCCGGGTGTGGCAGCAGGTTACTAACACGGGCTTTTTCTAAGGAGAGCCACGTCTGGGACAACCAGCACATCCACTCGGTCATTTTTGCAGTCACCGGTGGTATTCCTGGCAAACACTGGGGCCCAGCTTCTACCCACCGAGTCTTCTACCCACTGAATCCTCTCCCCACTCAGTCCTCTCCTCGTTGCCTGCCCAGCCCCCCGCCCACCGAGTCCTCCCCACCTTGAGTCCCCCACCCACCAAGCCCACTGCCTGCAGGGCCCCTGCCCCCACTGCTGAGTCCTCTGCCTGCTGAATTCTCGCCTCTGGAGTTGGCGCTCAGGGAGCCGCTCCTGAGTGGGGGGCTGTACAGACCTGCATGGGACTCAGCCATGTGCCTGCTCCCTGCACTTCAGGGCATGAGGGACCCTACCCCGGGTGGGGACGTGTATGCGTGTGCATGTGTGCACACATGTGCACACTGTAGGTCCGCCCCCTGCAAGTCTGTAACATCAGGGACCCCGCCCTGGGTGAGGACTTGCGTGTGTTTGAGCCGTGGGCCCACCCCCTGCAGGGACCCTGCCCTGGCTGGAAACCTGAGCATGTCTGAGCCATGTGCCCGCCTCTGCAGGTCTACGATGACGGGAAGTATGTGTACCTGGTAATGGAGCTGATGCGCGGCGGCGAGCTCCTGGACCGGATTCTGCGGCAGCGATACTTCTCGGAGCGCGAGGCCAGTGACGTGCTGTGCACCATCACCAAGACCATGGACTACCTGCACTCCCAGGGGGTACGCAGCACCCGGCAGAGACCGACTCATAGAGGGTTTGCAGCCTGTGAGCCGGGAGCTGAGGTTGTCCTTGAGCCCTCCCAATCATGGTCCTTCCATCACCTGCATCAGGTTACATACAGTTGCTTGTACACGTGGGTGCTCGCGGGAGGCAGGTAAATTAAATTTCTCTGGGCCAGCTTCCCACAAGAAATACTGTGGGCTTGATGAAGGGCATTGTAGAAAGCCATCAGTCAGCGGGTTTACAGCTGAGTTCTGTCAGTGACACGAAGGAGTCAGTCGATGAAGAGGACGATCAGAGTGGGACTGCAAGGCCACAGGTCCCAGGGGCTGCTGTGAGCTCCTCACTCATCTAATCCTGACCGGCATTAATGCCCATTTTACAGATGGGAGACCAAAGCACTGAAAGGGTGAGGGTCTTTCCCGAGGACGCAGCACCCACAAGAGGCAGCTTCAGGCTTCAGAGCCCGGTATTCAGGTTCCGGAGCCCCAGCTCTCAGCCAGACACACCCCATGGCGTCCTCTCACCCCTCCTCTCCCGCTGTCTGTCTCCTGCCAGCATTTCTCCGGGAGCAGGCACTGCCCTCCTTGGTCACCTCTGAGCAGGAGAGTGGCCTTCCAGGACACACGAGTCTTCTCCAAAGGCATCCCTGGGGTGAGCAGGAGGGGAGAGCATTTTCAGATTTCCCAGGCACACAAGCCCAAGGAGAGCCTTTGCTTGATGGTGTTTACAGATCGGCTCTTAGTTCAAAGGCGGGTAATGGACCTGAAACCTAAAGTTCAGTTTCCTGGCCATCCGGAGCACCAACGCCAAGCTGGCCGGCCCAAGTCGGACCTCGTCACTTCCCTCTTTAGTCCTTTTGTTGGAATTTACTAGGGTAACTGAGGTGGCCTTTAGGATGTCACAGCACATGTTGACGGCATTCCTCTCTGTCTCCTGCACAGCCACTTGGCGTGGCAGGGTGGTGGCCCCACCTGCACTACGGCCGCTGGTCGTCAGGGAGTTCCTGCTGCCCACTGTCGTGTGTGCTCAGGACACCTGTACCACCCCCAGCAGCACTCGTCCTGTGTGCAGTGACATGGTTCTGTGCAGTGCCCCATCCCGGCATCTAACCATGTGTTGAATTAAACATTCACCGAGTGGCTGTAACTTTCCGAGCCTTTTGCTCCTGTTTTCTGACCACCCATGCCATGCTCTTCCTCACGGGGACTCCAGTAAGCCAGTCTCTCATCTTGGATGAATGCTTCGGATTTAAGAGCTCAAGTATTCATCCACAGCACCAGAGTTTATACTGGGTCCCGAGATCTGAGCACTAGTGGGACAGAAAGAGGGTGTGGGGTATCCCGGGAGCCGCGTCCCATGCCTGGGAGAGGATTGGCTTCCTGCTGAAGCCGCCCTCAGAACCAGCAGTCCCGGCACCAGCCCTTGCCTCTGAGGGCTCCCGTCCACCCCGCCGTGCCCTGTGCCATTGTCTGACAGCCCTTGGCTTTTCAGGTGGTGCACCGCGATCTGAAGCCAAGCAACATCCTGTACACGGATGAGTCTGGGAACCCCGAGTCCATCAGGATCTGCGACTTTGGATTCGCCAAACAACTGCGAGCCGAGAACGGACTGCTGATGACACCCTGCTACACGGCCAACTTTGTCGCCCCCGAGGTGGGAAGGCCTGACTGGGGGAGGACGGCCCCTCCATCCCCTGGAGAGGGCACCCGTCTTCTCCCTTCTCCAAAGGCAGCAGGGTGGCTTGGTAGAGCTGAGGCATTGTGAGGGTCTCCGCATGGTACAAAGGGTTTGCAGTTGGCTACTCACCAACGGTTGGTAGTTCAAACCCACCCAGCAGCACCAAGGAAGAAAGGCCTGGTGATCTGTTTTGTAAAGATCACAGCCACAGAAACCCTGTGGAGCAGTTTCCACTGTGCACATGGGGTCAGGTCATGTCGGGGCAGGCTGGGGCAGGTCGGGTCAGGTTAGGTCAGGGCAGGCTGGGTCATATTGGGGCAGTCTGGGTCAGGTCAGGTAAGGCTAGGTCAGGTCGGGTCGGGTCAGGCTGGGTCAGGTCGGGTCAGGTTAGGTCAGGGCAGGCTGGGTCAGGTTAGGTCAGGTCATGTCAGGCTAGGTCAGGTCATGTCAGGCTAGGTCAGGTCAGGTCAGGCTAGGTCGGGTCGGGTCAGGTCAGGTCAGGCTAGGTCAGGTCGGGTCAGGTTAGGTCAGGTCAGGCTAGGTCAGGTCAGGCTAGGTTGGG